CTGTGTTTATGTTCTTGGATTTCAGGCTGCATTGAAGGTATGACCATATAAGGCAAAGTGGAAGCACAAAAGAGGCACTTTATTCTCGGAGAGCTCATTCAGTCTTTTATTCGCATGGTATTTCCATCTATCAAGCTCTAATTTCACGCAGTTATTATAGAATAACTTATAAAAACATATTCGTGATGGCATTTTTATCTTCTAAAATATATCCCATCAATCTTTTCGAGTATGAAATGGTAACTTTTCTGTCAATTAAAAAAACAAGAAATTACATATTTTTCGCCGAAGAAAAATTGAGAGATTCAGTCGGAGAATTCGAATTTAATGCGGCAATGCTGGAGAAAATTCACCGAATGCTCTTTGAACAGCTGCTGGAGAGCTTTAGAATAAATTAGAGTTATTCGACTATTAGTCATTTTGATCTTTTTTTTTTATCCTTGAGCCTGACCATCGACATATAATATACTGAAATCAGAAGCGCATTAAGAAATTTTCTTAGTCCCCGCCAGAATCCCTTTGAGGACAAAATAAACCTCCGTAAATCAAAAAATGTCCCACTCAAACATTTACGATCCAGAATCTGAGAAACTTTTCGGCTACGATTGCGGGAAAAGAAAAGTAATAAAAATGTAAACCCGTGCCTTTCTAGTGAGTGACTGATCTGCCAAAAGAACTCTTGGCTCCAAGTTCAGCATCCTGTCAAAATAATTTACAATGCAGGTTAAAACCCACATGGTCACCAATTTCAACTTCATCGCATGATTCTTCTCTTTTCCTTTAAAAATGCTAGTTTCTCCAACTCAAAAACTCTTCTAGTTTTTTGATCTCATTGAGAGTTTGACTTGAAGAGGTTCATCTATTTTCTCTTGCTGTATTGTATTTTTTTGGTCTTTGCAGCACCAGGTAAAACGGAAAAAAGTTTGGGCTACCTGAATAATTAAGAAAAATTGAAATTTTCGACTGTTTTTCGCGGGTAAATGCGTTGAAATTGGAAAATTTCATGTAAGAAAGAGTTCGGTTAATGAGGTCAACGGCAGAAACAGATTAGATAAAATGCATATACTGTATAATACTTTACCAAGAAATCGTAGTCGGTTTGAGTGTTGATCGAAGGACGTCCCCAGGCCAACATCGGATTTCCGCCGTTCTGCCACGCCCACTCGATGAATCCGGTATTCGTGGAACACGGAACATCCGGCTTTTTCTATACACATTTCATGAAAAGATTAGCAAAGTAGAGCATGAAGTGGTGAACTCAATTGATGCAAAATACCGCTGATTGCGCGTCAGAAACGGAAGCCGTGTTCCCAATTATCCAGAGTTCCAGTCGCGCTTTCCAAAAGTTCACATTTACATACATCATAACTATATACTCCTTGTTCAATACGAACCTCACCGAAGATTCTATGAAACAGGATATGCTCCCTTCAAATTTATCAAGTCTCGAAAGAATTGTTTCATTGATTAAAAATTACTGAAATTCGTCTTTCCAGGGACTCCCCTTGAAATCACTCCTACTTTGAGAAGCCCTGAGAATGTACTTACACAAAAACTCGGATATCGTGCATTCGAATTGTTTTCTAGGTCAAACTAAATGGATAAGATTTAATCAAAACCAAAGCACTCATCAGAATCGATTGTCATAACGTCACTGGTGAAATTTGAAACAGCAGATAATATCAAGAAGAGTCCTAATGAAGGCATGTTTATAAAGTCCATCATAATAATTGACGAGGAAACTTTCCGATATTTTCTCTGGGAAAACAGAATCATTAAATCGCATGCAACGTCCCATTGAGTATGACATCTAAAAAGTCGAGGAATGATTTTTCGTCAATGCAAATCTTAGATTATTCTCGATATCTGTGCTGCTGAGAGCTCTTATTGTGCAGTACTTCCACGAGGAAAAGTCTTTGCACAATTTACTTGCTGTATATTTTTGAATCAAGTGGCATCAATTTTCGTGGAAGACGAACTTCAATGAAATTCAGCTTCATTATTAAAGGTTTCATAAGTTTTTCCGTTCACATTCTGGCTTGAAATGAATGCTTGAAACTTTACCAAGGTGGAGATCGATAAGAAATCTGGAATGGATTTTTTTCACGTTTGCCTCGACGTACATTATCAGTAAGCTTTATAAACACCGGGTACGAAACAAAGGTATATCCTGAGAAAATTAAATCTCTCTTGAAAATTAAATCATTTGAGATTATGCACTTGAGGAAAAACTATTAGTAGATAGGTTTCCGAAGTAGATATTGGGGGAAATTTGCATTCTTCAACTTCATGTTTTTGCAGTGAAATGAAGAAGGGATATAACCCAAAATCTAAAATACCAGAGTGCGTGCGAAAGTACATGATTTCAAAATATGCCGCGTGACAAAAACTGTTTCCTCAGCCAAGGTGATGCAAGCTTCCCAAACAAACTCTAGTAAACAACAGACTATACAGCAACTACTCCTTGAAGTCATGCGATATGATTTTTTTTTTCTTAAGATTTCCGCATAAATTCGCAAGATGTTGCGATGACGTCGTGGAACTCGTCGACACGAGTGCGAAACGCGGATATTTCCACATCAAGGACACGTACAAAAGGCATTCGCAGTAATATAGAGTCGTGTCGGGATGTAATAAAAGCACCTACCCTGAAATAAAGCTGAGCCCAGAGTTGGGGCGTTACTTGCGGCAAGGGTACTGGTTCGTTTCTCGAGTTGGTTATGTTGATGGACGAAGTTCCGGCTCCAGTTGCGAGAATCACGTTTTTCGCCAAATATTCCGCCGGATCCACGGGGGTTCTTTTGCAAGTGACTCGCAGTCTGCTCGTGCCATCAGCATCAGCCACTTCCGCAACTGAGGTCACTGGGCAAGGACTGCAGGTTGTAACTCCGTTCTTGGGTGCCATTTCCTTTGAAGTACAAATATAAGGATTGGTTCAAATATACTTCGCCCTCGACTTCAAATAATTCACCAGCAAGGACTTGGATCCAGGAATAAAACCTTTCATGTTTCTATATTTATCGCCAAGTCATATCAGCGGACTCGACGTCAGCTTCACTGTATTTCCATTAAATACAGTATATACATGCCGCGAACTTAAAAAAAATCAAATCACGCTGAATGAATTGATCGGGAAAATACGGAAATTGCTAATTTTCAGGGAGTCCTTTGAATATTGTACTCAGCACGTGTTTGAGGAAATGCCCTTGAAAACATTCAAAGGATTAGACCAGGAGCAAGCTTATTATCTTCATTTGCTTATGAATATCCCCAATGTAGTGCATATTCAAGTGTAGTCCATTTTGACACTTTCGTTTCCCATTTTGTGATGCTTGAGCACTTTCCCCACATTCGCCTTAAACTAGTGTCTGAATTCAAGTGAACGAAATATTTTTTGAACATTTGGCACACGGTTTTCAGTATCACACTCGACAGGATTTCAAATGTGTTTCCAATACCATATTTTAAGCCGAAGCCACACCTGGTTGTTGTTTGGCTGAGCAGACATTCAGGAACAGCAGCATGCACATGCCCCAAAATGTTTTCAACTAATTTTAACTGCGGAACAGGCACAAATATAAATTTGAGGTTTTTAGAATGAAACTTGAAATTTGTGGAGAACACCAGAAATTATCAGGCCTCTGGTATAAAGTAGAATTATCTCGAAATTGCTGCGTCACACACTTTTTGTGTATGGGAAAAGAGCCAGTGCAGAGAAAAGTTTTGGTCGTTGACACGGATAAATAATTATTTCAAATATAGGCCGCATCGGGAATACTGAGTTGCGTAACTTGTGGCCTATTCGCGGAGATTTCTTGAATATGCGTTGACCGCACCCAACTTTTTCGAAGTATTCTTTGCAAGAAAAGGTGTGGCCTATATAAAATTCAGAATAATTCAGCATGGCTGATGAATGATGAGATTGTAAGAAAAGGGAGGAATTTCAAATGGGCGAATATTTCAGCACAAATGACATACTTTCACATC